TGAAAATTTCCACTCTTTAGTCTAAGTCCCTGGGCCGCAGCTGAATGCGGAAACGGAACTACACGCTAGCTGTGGTTTCGTTGTCGTGCGAGTCTGAAGGACACGAAACAGGATTGGATCATAACATCTGTGATTACACGCTCAGATGTCAGGATTTCCTTACACGTTGTTGTTTTTTGAAAGGCAGACTGTATTTCAGATATCTAAATTGAACGATATGTAGTTCAAGTGATTGGGAGATAATACAAATGTACTTCTCAAGTTGAAAACGAACACAAAAGTAACGCACAACAATCCGTTTTTGTCACCCATCAGAATTTGCGACGAAGAGTAATTTTTGTTTTTCTCTAGTGTGTGTACCCTGATATGACAAAAAAAAAACATGACAATATTTTTCTGAGAGCTTTCTTTTCCATAATATACAGCTGCAAAATGGGCTGGTATGTCTGTGTCCCAGATTTAAGCGCTGTTTTAGTGTAATTTTCTGCTAAAATTAAAAAAGTTTAAAATTCACAGCAATATTTGGATACATGAAATTGTCTGTTGTAATAAGACAAATCCACCCCTTTCACATGAAAGCACCCCCATTATAATCCAACGCATAGAATATTTTAACAGACTTTCAAAGATGATCACCACCTGCTGTTACCCAGTATTGTGGACGTGCAGACATTATATTGCATGTTGTTAAATGAAATGTAAACCTCTATAATAGCTTGTAATTGGCTAACGGTATTGCCCAATTACATTGTAATACCTACAATCATTTATGTCGTCACCACATAAATGAGACATGTTCTATTTCGCTGCGAGTGGGTAATATTCAAGATTTCTCCGAACATTTTAACAGAACTTTCTGCCAACACGTCGAGAATGATGATCTTACTCGAAGGGTCGGTGGAAGAACGGCAAAGTATTTTGCCAGGCTGACCGAAATTTTAAAATTTTAAAATTGGTCGACCGTGCCTCACCCACTTAGAAAACGCACCTAGTAAAAGTGGCTTGGAAGGGTGGACAGCATCGTTGTAAGATTGATAATTTATCGTCAGAATAATCAAATTCGTTTTAAAAGTTTATTTGAAAAAAAATTACCACATCCCCTTATTGCTATCGGAGCTAATTTTACTGCACTGCAAACCCATTTTAGTCAAAATGTATGTCATGTATATCATGTAAATCAAACAGAAAACAAGTGAAAAAAACAAAGAGATTAATTGAAGGTCATTATTCAAGTATTGACGCTCTCCCTCTAATAAATGCAGAAAATGATTTTCTTAAATTGAAAATTGTTAAAATCGTATGATAACCTTGGTTTCTTTTCCCGTAGGATTGGATGACAAAGCCGAACAGGGCATGTACGTCTTCAGTAACGGCATAACGATTGATGGAAATTATTCAGAGTGGATTCCATACATCAAACCGAATGAAAAGAAGGTCCCGGATGTGTTTGCATTGACAACAACGAGGCTTTAATGATCAGAGTGACAGATTGTATGGAGAGAAAGCGTTACATATGTGAAATTGAAACTGGGATGTGAATGCTTAAATGTATTTTTCTCTCTCAAAAGAGAGTTTTGATATAAAATTAATTAAAAAAATATTATTGGAAAAGCGTTTGGAAGCAAATTTGATATTTTACGCAAACGAAAATTGTACATTTTGTCGAGAACGCTTATATAAATGTGCGTAACTTCATGATCGAAGAATACACTTTGATTGCAGTACATTGCGGTGTAATTGAGTTGTTATCGCTGAGATTACGCACTGACGTTACAGATTATAATTTGTAACTCCCGAACAACACGGAGGGGCCTTTCAGACAAAACATGCATGAATCCTTGTAAAGGCTAACATTGTAAGACAACTTTATTTTTAACGAGATATATTTTAGTCATGTAATGCAAATTTATCACACAACTTGCTCAATTTGGGCACTGATAATGTCCCAAGAATTTCGGGCACTGATAATTTTCTAGAATTCTTCGGGCACTGATAATTTTCCAGAATTCTTTGGGCACTGATATCTTCCCAGAATTCTTCGGGCACTGATAATTTTCCAGAATTCTTTGGGCACTGATATCTTCCCAGAATTCTTCGGGCACTGATAATTTCCCAGGATTCTCTTAAAACTCATTGCATATTTTTATTTACTTTTATCAAGATAACTGTAATAGAAAACAACCCTCTTTTTTTCTTCATGAAATAGCAAAATACTCTATTTCGTAATAAAATTATTTATGTAGCCAAATGTTCAAAAGAATAACGAAGCTCGTTTTTTTTCTCAGAATTAAATAAGAAGCAAGTCCATATGACTGATATTGTCATTTATTAAAACGACGAAATGTAATGTGATACCAAGTTAAGGGGCGTTATTTCATCCCTGAACAAGATTTTATCACGAAAATTAGCAGAGTTAAGAGTTAAGTCATAAATTAAAACTTTTCAACTATCAAAATTACTTAATTTCGCTCTTAACCAACATGCGTCTGTGACAATCTGAGTTATTTGATTTCTATACTCACATCCTTCACACGCGATTGAAAGCTGTAACTATATTTCACAGAAATCTCTTATCCAGTCAGAAAGAGCTTTGGACATGCGAGCTCTTCTCTCATGTGACTTGATCATACTATCGATTCCATTATTTGATCACGATCTACCTATACTGATTATATAATGATAATGTTTACTAAACACGAAATGGAAGTTCTTTTGTCTTTCTGAGACAAAACCCAGACACCAGCGCCCTAGAGTGACTAAAGAAGTTCTAATATTACACCCTAACAGGGCTACAGATTGATTTTTTCACTAGATTTTCACAGACACTGTCTCTGGTTAAAAATGGTCAATATTGTAACTGAGCAAAATTCGCCACTGATTCATGTGAAAACAGTGAAAAGTTTAAAATATTTAAATGGCGTCATTTCCCACAAACTGTAACAGAAAGTCCGCCCTTCATTTAGTTATTATGGTTAGGGTTAGCCTGACCAAAGTGGCTCAAAATCTAGGGCGAGGCTTGCCTGTACAAATGAATGGGAAGAGGACTCTCTATCATGGGGGACTCTCTGTCACGTTACACCGACCCTAAATTCGTGTGCTGGTTGTGCTTGGAAAAAATAACATCTTGAACTGTGACCTAAATTCCGAACCACTGATCAGAAACACCAATAAATTGAACACATGGCACAGCGACTCGGAGATTCTACCAATATAAAAGATGTAGGTGACATACCAAGGAAATTCTTTTGTAAATATATATGACGTTATCACCATACAAATAGCAGATGTTGTGCACATAATTAGAAAAGTATTAGACGTGGCCAACAGAGAAACAGTACTAATTACTTCTTTAAACTTTTTCTCACCCGCTCCATCAGATGTTAGTTCTTTTCGAGTTTGTATTAAAACTGTGTTGGAAGCAATCAGCACTCTTTGACCCCATTCCCATACCTTGATCGATGTAACAAGACCGATCCATCTCCGAAGGGTTTCTTGTTAAATTGCTTTCAGATTAAGCGGCTTTGATGTCTGGCAAGCCTACTGAAGCTGCTAAACGATAATTTATTAAAATTAATTAATTATATAGATAGATAATTAAAATTACCCCTGAGCGTGACAGACATCCTCTGCGAAAATGTATCTTATTTAACGTTCACTTACGGTTCTCAATCTATTCTAGAACATTTGGTGTATTTTTTTTTACAATCCTAATGTTGTTCTGTAATGAATGTAACAGTTCAAGAACTGTTTTGGGGAAGTCCTTCAGAATGTCCTAGAACAGATTAAGAATTTTTTCATTAAAAGAGAAAAACATTAGGTTCTTGGACAGATTGAGAAGAGAGCGTTAAATGAGACAAATTTTCGCAGGGGATTTTCAGTACGTTATAATGTGTACGTTATCGGTGTTTGTAACAGGACATTTGTAAAGGCTAACATTGTAAGACAGTTATATTTTTAACGAGACATATTTAAGTCATGTAATAAAAATTAATCACACATCTTGTTTAATTTGGACACTAATAAATTCCAAGGATTCCCATAAAAATCATTGCCTATTTTTCACTTCCTTTTGTCGGAATTACTGAAATAGATAACAATTAACCCTCATTTTTTATTCATAAAATAGCATAATACTTTATTTCGTAATAAAATTATTCTCTTTAAATCTTATATACACCTTTGTACACGTTATTTATTCTTATTTACATTGCTGTAGATGTATATAGAATAAAAGTACAAGTAAAAGTTGGAGGATCCGAAATTCACGTTGGAAGGAAGTGGCGGGTAGAGAAGATTAGTTTGACCTTGAAAAGGGTTCAGAATGAACTTCGGGTGAACCCACCCATCCGCTACAATACGACAGAGGTCTCTGTAGTGTGAAGTAGAAATAAAATACAATTTTGTTCAACTTTGTAACAAACTACAGAGACCCCTGCCGGGCGGTACCCCTCCTTTCTCTTCCTTTTGTTTAGTTCTGCTGTATATCCTCCCTGTTTAGATGTGAAATAACGTGTTGCACACAATCCCATTACTACTCAGGCCCGTAGCCGGGGGGGGGGGGGGGGGTGTTCGGGGTGTTCGAAAAAAACCACCCTTTTTGCTGGGAAAAGGTCCACTCTGGGTAAAACTTGATCTATGTACTTGAGGATTTTATGGTAAAAAGTCCACTTTTTCAGAAAACGAACCCCCACCCCCGTCTGAAACTGCTGGCTACGGGCCTGCTACTAAAATTACATGCACCCAGGCGTGGTCACATCACTGTGTGCAATCTGACCTCGCTGTAAGATCGATGTTTGGCTTGGTGACCATATCGGAAATCAAAACGTTCATAATTATTGTTGTTTGGCATAGCTTTAAGTCTACTCGCCCTCTGCTTTGTGTATACGACAAAGTTGTGAAATTCACAATGGACTGTTTTTCAGAGAGAGATAAACAAGCGCTTTACAACCAGTGTTCGTTTGTCTGGCAATTTCGCTTGGTAAATGGTGTTTTTATGGTTTTTACATAAGCGTGCTTCCATCTTGACTCTCGTCGTCTCCAATGGGTGGTAGGGGGTCGACATTGTACTGAAAACGTCCAGGGCGTCCAAACCTCAACGGGCCCATTTTCGCCCGCTTTCTGATAATGGCATAAGCGTTCGCTATCCGCAACGAAGGGAAACTTTTCAAATCTTTCTTGATTTTGTTCAGCGGAACGGTGCTGAAGTTGTTTTTCGTCGAAACTTGAGCGACTTGAGAGGAGTGTTCCCGCTTTTTCGCCTCTCGTCTGCCGTAGGTGCTGTCCCACGAGCTGAGCATTTTGGACGGTACGTTCAGAGGTTGGAATGGAAGCTTTATACGACCGTCGGAGAATTTGACCCTGGGGTTCTGAAAAGTCAATGAAATGTGAATAGAAATCGTTTTTACGCATATTTTTAAAAAGATGCACAATAAGGGGAATGTCTTAAACATATAACTACCAAAATCACACTATATAATGTTTAACAAACAAAAATGAAAGGAAAGCACAGGGATTCCATTATTTACAGCACCAAGAATGTTTTTAAATCTTACCTCTTCAAATGCGATCTTCCTCTGTCCCTGTCTCAATATACTTCTATAAGGGTTGGGGGCTATGGGAGGGAGTACTGTGTGCTTATTAAGCTGACTTTCAGCCGACGAGGGACGCTTGCCAACAGCTTCCTTTTTCCTGTCAATAAGAATTTAGATTGTAATCTAGATCTAGATACAAGCAAAATTTTTTCAAACGCGTCAACAGACATTTACATTTCTTATAAAGGAAAGGCCAACAGTTAATTTGAATTTGAATAACTAAATAAGAAGCGTTCATAGTGTTTGAAGATTTTAAAGGTAAATGAATATGTTGTCAAACTCAACTTTATTACAACGGATTCTGCTTTGATGACGTTTTAACAACACAATGTACAAAAATCTTTCCTCTATCCAATATCATTAAAATGTTTTCACTGTTACATTTCTACGTAATATTACGCTCAAACAAACAAACTCGCTATATTTCCACAATAAATGATTGGCCTAGTTTTTCTTCAAAGCTAGTCTCGCGTACCTTTGGGACAGAACACTATCAGCGGAGAGTGGCAACCCTTCCCGTCTGGCCTGGCTACTGCTCCGTAACTTACTGGCCCTCCGAAGGGCAAAGTCTTGCCTGAAGGGGAAGAAAGGTTCCAACTGAGTTGAAGGAAATGGGTGGTAAAATACGTCAGAGAGAAGAAATGAGTATTGGGTGTTTTTATGTGCCTTTTTCACTTCTAAGAGATACCATGTTTCTTTATTTTCATGCTTCACAATTGAGGCGTGCTTATGAGATAATTGCTGCCTTGTCAAAATTAAGAAAGAAATTTTTCTCTCTTTTAAGCATTCCCTATATCTTTTGACATCTTATATTCTTTCAATTTTTTTAATCACTCGTCTTTCGCTTGTTTCTAACCTGCGTTTACTCCTTGCAGACAGAACGCTCTCGGAGCTGCTGGCCACGGACTCGCTGTCGTCGCTGCCGGAAACTACCGAACCGCTGTCCGCCGAGGACCCGCTGTCCGCCGACGATGCCCTGATGGATGACGTCACCCACTTATCATCTTGCTGCTTTGGTTTCCTCGGGACAGCATTAAAGCCTAATGATCATTATGAAAGATAAAACATCTTAAAGAATAATATTTGTGTTGTAAGAGAAATGGTATTAAGTTAGTTAACTAATAAATACAGCTACATTTGATCATTATTATTATTATTATTAAATATAAGCCATTTTTGTGTTTACGTGTTGTAATATACAGTACCTGCCCCAGCGGCTATATGTTTCTTTTCTGACGGTTGTTCCTCGGTCTCTGTGTCCGAACCCTCGCCACTGTCCGTTTCTGTGTCGGATTCGGAGCCGCTGTCTTCTTCGTCATTGGCAGCGGCCTTAGGGGCGGCTGAAATTGGCAGTCAACAGCTTCATTTAAAGTGCAGTGTAATACATATGTAATATATAAACGTTTAATTTGATTATTTCAGTACGTTAATTTTCTTATTGTAAACCTCATCATCCATATGTGACAGAGCATTTTTCTACATTTTTTAAATTTAATAAAAGATATCCATTAGGTGAACCTTCAGTGAGTGGATATAGACGTAACACCGCTCTAAATTTTACGAGGTAAAGCCAGATGAACATGAATGGCCAGTGAATTTTTGCGTATACCTTTCACCGTGTCCGGTGCACCCTCGGGGCCAGATTTTTTGACCGTCTCCTCTGTCTCCGTGTCACTCCCACTATCGTCATCAGACCCCGAGTCACTGCCGCTCTCGTCATCGTCGGCTTTTGCCGAGGCTTCTTCAGTCTTAGTTTCGTTCCCTTCCTTGGCACCATCGGCTGGCTGTTGATCAGAAGAGGCGGTGGCCGTGACGTCATCACCAGCTTTAGTGGCTGTAGCGTCATCAGCAGTTTTGGTGGCTGTGGCGTCATCTTCAGCTTTGGTGGCTTTGGCGTCATCACCAGTTTTTTCGCCCTCTTCTGGGGGTTTGGCCTCTGTAGGCGTGTCCTCTTTTGGGGGAACAACGAATGTTCCTTGTTTGTCCCCATCCCCTGGTTGGTCTCCGTCCGGTGGCTTTCCCGGTTCTGTTGTCTTCTCATCGTTCTTCTGTTCATCCTTTGTTGGTTCGGCGCTTTCGGCGTCTGCCTTTTCCTTTTCCGTCTTTGCTTTGTCTTCTGTTGAGTCGTCCTCATCTTCACTTTCACTTTCAGTTTCACTTCCACTGTCACTGTCATCTTTTTCACTTTTTGGTTTCTCAGTGGTGACCTCTCTAGCTGTTACAGGCTCCTCATCCTCGCTATCACTTTCGCTTTCGCTGTCACTTTCGCTTTCACTTTCTGCTTCCTTCGTGTCGGTTTTAACCTCGGTTTTGTCCTCTTCCTTTTGCTCTTTTGGATCCGATTCATTTCCTTTATTCTCTGGCTGATTTCCTTGACCGCTGTTATCGAGTGCATCGCCAGCTGTATCCTTGATCTCGGCCACATCACTGTTAGCTTCTTGGACCTCGTTTATATTATCCATCTCACTGTCTACAGGAGTGGGCTCCCTGGCATTATCCATGCCCGCCTGTTGGAATAAGGTGGGCAGTGGAGTGATAAAAGGACCATTATATTTGGGTCCAAGCTCATAAACAAAACTCTTGGCGTATTGCTTTTTCCTGTATTTATTAGCGGAAAATATAGGGTCAACAATAGGGGGTTCTTCCACAACTGGAGGCTGTGCTTCTTTCTTCTGTTGTTCTTCTGCCTCTCCTTCTTCAGCTGGCTTCACGGATGTTTTGTCTGTTTTGCGGTGAGGCGGTTTCTTTTTGATGAGAGACAGGACGTTGCTTCTGTTGGTATTTACCAAGGGAGTTTTCTTCGCCCCCAAGTTGTTTCCTTTAATGTCTGATTTTGTCTTCTTTTTGGGGTCTCTAAAATAGTTGGTAACCGATTCCATTCGCCCTTGTCTTGGACCTGGTTGGTTTTTCACCACTCCTGTTTTGTTGGCTTTCTGTTGTGGTTTCGTTTTCTCCTGCTTAGGTTCTGCTATACCTTCTTTCTCAGTTTTCTCCTCGTAAAGCTGTTCAATAACTATCGAGCCTTGGGCGGCTGGAACATTTGCTTTCTCTTGATTTTCATCAGAGTCACCTTCACCTTCACTTTCACTTTCACTTTCGCTTTCTCCACTTTCTTCACTTTCCCCGCTGCTTTCGTTTTCTTTGTTGTCAGTTTCCTTGATTTCATCCTCCTTTTTCGTACCTTCTTCTTGCTTGTTGTCGCTGTCTGACTTTTCAGTGGCGGAAATCTCCTCTTTATTCACATCCTCTTCATCTTCACTTTCCCCACTACTTCCTTCGTCACTAGTGTTAATGATTTTCTGTGTAGGCGACGATACTTCTTTGCGTTTTGGCGGCTCAGATTTTGCACTGCTGACTTTGGATTCGGCCTCAGCAGCCTCACCAGAGTCTGACTCGTCGTCTTCTGAATCAGAGCTTTCTTCCCCATCATCGTCTGCAGTCTTTTGCTTTTCAGCTGTTTTCGATGCTGCTGTGGTAGTGCTGGCATCATCCCCTTCTTCGTTGTCATTATTATCTTTTTCGTCAGCTTTCTCAGTGACGCCAGTGGTTTCTCTACTTTGGGTGGCCTCTGTCGAAACCGTTTCTTTCTTTTCCGTCTGGTCTGTGGCCTTCACCGTTTCTCCATTCTTTGCAGTTTTTGACTGATCACTGTCGCTATCTGCATCCTCATCATCATCATCATCATCATCTTCACCTTCCGACGATGACCCACTGTTTTCTTCAGAGTCACTTTCACTTCCTTTAGTGTCAGCTGTTGTCTTCGTTGATGCACTTGCTTTTCTAGTATTGTCTTTTTCTTTTTCGTCATCTGCTACATCGTCACTTTTTGGAGCTTTAACTTCGATATCCTTTTCAGTACTAGCTGGTTCTTCCTCCTTTTGGCCAGATTCGTCTGCCTTATTCTGGACAGCTGCAGGTTTAACAACCACCGTCGTTTTTTCCTTCTTTCCTTGGACTTTCGTGTTTTCCTTTGCTACTTTTATTTTTGCGTTGGACCCCTTTGTTGGGTTAAGATAGGAAGGAGTCTTTTTCGAACCCGTCTCCGTTTTGTCGAATGTTTTAGATGGCTTAACTTGAAATGTTGACTCTTTTCTTGGAGCAACTGATGCCTTTGTATCTTCTCTCTTGACGTATGTCTTGTCACGGTTAGACAAAGATACTTTAGTGCGTTGATTTGTAACTGGGGCAACAGGTTTTCTTTTAGTGTTTGTCGCAGCCAGTGTTTGTTTCTTTTGCTCAGCCACCTTCTCCCTACGCAATGTGCTCTTAGACTTAGTCGTCTCCATTTTAGCAAGAATTGACGCTTCTTTGGTTCCAGCTCTTTTTAGGGGTTCCTTTTGTGTTGATGCAACTGTAACTGAAGCGTTGGTCGCTCCTGGTGCTGCCTTGTCAGCTAAAGCTGCTTCTGTAAAAGTCACCTGTTTCTGGGTACTTGCATGTTCCTGGTCGTCTGGTTTCTGTCCAGGCTGTGGTATAACGGGTCCTTCTTTATCATCCTCGTCATCCTCGCTTTCTTCATCATCAGAGTCCTTCGAATCACTCTCACTCTCCGATTCTTCTTCGTTTGCCTTTTCTGTTGCATCAGTTTTTGCAACGGACTTATCAGCTGTTGCGTCTTTATTTTCTTCTGATTCATTCTTCGCTGTATCCTCTGTTTCTTCTTTGGATTCGTTCACCTTATTTTCCTCTAAACCTTCTTTTGCATTTTCTTCTGTTTTTACCTCTGTGTTCTCGGCATGGTCAGGGATTTTTTCCTTATCATCTACTTTCTGCTCTGTTTTGTTGGTATCTTGCTGACTTGCCTCTGTTTTAACAGCATCAGGACTTCCTGTCTCGGTACCAGACGCCGTTCCTTTCACCTCGGCATTCTGCTCAGCACCCAGTGTTATTTCTTCAGGTTTAGCTTCTTTTTCTCCTTTGACATCTCCCCCATTGTCTGATGACGTAGTTTCCTGTTCAGCACCAGGGGTTGTAACTTCCGCCGCTTCTTCCTCACCTTTCACGTATGCTTCCTTTTCCTCGATAGACTGTTCCTCAGACGAAGTAACTTCTTTATTTTTGATCTCCTCCGTCGTTTCTGTCTTGTTTACAGCACTTTCCTTTACATCGTCAGTGACAGTTGCACTTTGTCCTGTAGTCACTTGTTTCGACTTCTCTTTCATGCTTGTAGATGTAGCCGTTTTACCTGGTGCAAGTTTATTTGACGTTGTATTGCGAGACATGGGTGGTTTTTGGGAAGTTTTTGTGGGCTGTCTGCTCAGATTTGTTTTCGTCGGTGCCCGAGATGACACAGTTGTGTCATTCTTCTTGACTAATGTGTTGTTTTTGGATACTGATCCCTGGCCCTGGTTTGTATTTTCTTTTTTGAGAGAGGTTGTCGTTTTTGCTTTAGTCGCAGTCGTATCTTCTTTTTTAATTGATGTTGAAGTTTTGCTGGCAGCTTTAGAATCTTCTTTTTTCAAATCGGTTGACGTTTTGACTTTAGCTGCAGTCGTATCTTCTATTTTCAATGACGTTGAAGTTTTGCTGACAGCTTTGGAATCTTCTTTTTTCAAAGTGGTTGAAGTTTTTGTTTTTGGCGTTGTGTCTTCCTTTTTCAGCGACGTTGACGTCTTGGTCCCAGCTTTAATGATTTCTTTTTTCAAACCCGGTGTCGGCAGCGGAGGTTTTGACGATTGCGAAAGCTTGGAGTCTTGTTTTGAGATATCCGTCTTCTGAGTGGTTGACAGTCCTCGCGTGGGCTGTCTTGTAGCCTGTGGCGGCTTTCCTCTTCCCCTAGGCGCCGACTTTCGGACAACTTGGTTATCTTTCCCAGGTGCTCCCTGAACAACCACTGACGACTTATCACTCTGCAACATCGTTATGTTAACAGACATTTCCATTTCAGAAGGGGTTTGCTGGGCAGACCTACTTGTCCTGGCGCTGGATTTCGCTGTTGCGGCACTGGCATGTCTGGCAACGACTTCGGTAGAATTTTGGTGTTCATCGGCCTGTTTTTCATTTCCACCCGTGTTGGTCAAATTGGTATCATCTTTGTTTAAGGAGACTGCAGTGACCACAGCTTCACTTGAATTTGCTTTATCATCATCGTCGCTTTCACTTTCATCTTCCTCGTCTTCATCCTCGTCAGAACCATCATCTTGCTGCACTGGTAATGTGGGAGGTTTATCGTCACCGTCTGCTTTACTAATTGAGGTGTCTTCTGTTTTTCCTGTCTGGTCGTCTGCCTTACTTATGGAGGTAACATCTTTAACAATGGAGACTTGAGTGACAACTGCATCGCCATCTTTGTGTACCTCTGTGGCCGGTGCGTCTTCATCATCTTCGTCCTCGTCTTCACTTTCATCATCCGCGCTGGAGGCTGTCTGCTCACGCTGAGGCACTGCTAATAAATTCTTTGTATCTTGAACCACGACGGTAGAATCTTCGGTCTTTGTTTCAGTAGGTGTCGCTGCTTTTACTGCGCTTTCTTCCGTTTTGGAGATTGCTGTTTCATCTTTCTTTGTTTCATTGACAATAGGCGTCGTCACGCTTGTTGCCTTGTCTGTTCCCTCTCTTTTTTCCGTTGTGCTACTCTCTGGTTTTGTTTCGACAATGGGTGTTGCTGCTTTGTCCTTATCCACAGTTTCTTCTTTGTTAAGGGCACTCTCTGGCTTCGTTTCAGTTGAAGCAGGTGTTGGTGCTTTTTCAGTGTTTTCTTTGTTTCCGCTTGTGTCAGCTTCTGGCTTGTTTTCGTTTACAACAAGTGTTGCCGCTTGGCCTGTTGTCTGACTGGTCTGGCTTTCCTCTTTATTTTCAACCGACGTGCTCTCTGATTTTATATTGGGCACTGGTGACGTTATTTTGTCATCTTGCTTGGGTTCAGTAGCAACAGGTGTTGCTGTTTTAGCCACACTCTGGATAGTTGTGTTTATCTCCTCACTTTTGTCACTTTGCTCTTTTGTTTCAGTTGCAGCAGGTGGGGTTGGTTGACCAGCGCTTTGAGTTTCACTTTTCACTTCTGTTTCGATCACAGCAGGTGTCGTTGCTTTAGATGGGGTGGCAGTGATTTCATTCTTGTCATTGTTAACACCTGGCTTAATTTCAGCGGCCACTGGTGTTGCTGCTTTGACAGCGGTTTGATTTTCTTCCTTTGTTTTATCCTTAGCGCTCTCTGGTTTTGATTTGGCGGAAGTAGGAGTTGGAGCTTTTGCATTATTGACTGTATCTTCTTCCTGGTTATTTACACTAATTTGGGTGTCAATGGCGCTATCGTCTTGATGGTTCGATTTTTTTACTGCTGCGTCTTCATCATCAGATTCATCTTCATCCTCGCTTTCACCGTTACTAGCTGCGGTGGATGCAGTCTGTGCCCGCTGCGGGACAGCAAGTGAAGTATTTGTATTTTGGATTGCGACTGGTGGTGCTTTGGCCACCTCGGTTTCCTTGGAAGTTTCTGATATCACTTCGTTGGCAACAGCTTTGATATCACCATCTACTTTCTGCTCCGTAACTTGCCCTTCTGCCTTCGTGTTGCCACTGTCTTGAGGCTTTGGTTCTTGTTCAGCATTAATGACATCAGCTTTGGTCACGGAAGTCTCCTCCTTGGTGACCTGCACCTGTGAGATGATATTAGCATCAAGAGGCTTTGTAGTAGGCTCGTCCTCGTCACTTTCTCCGTCGTCTTCTTCTTCCACTTCTTCATACTCACTGGTAGTTGTAGCTGACTTAAGTCTCTTAGCAGCTGTTTCCTTTTCGTCCTTGGGATCTGCTTTTGTGATGCTAACAGACGGTGGCTGAGCCACAGGTGTGTTCTTCTGATCCGACGCCATGCTTCTAGTAGACTTTGTCGACACTGGTTTACTTTCAGTGCCACCAGTCTGGGATTTAGCGGTTGGGCTTTTGCTGGTAGTTTTGATGGACATTTGAGAGCCTTGTTTCTGTGTTGCTGGCGACGGTTGACTGGGGACTTTTATTGACACTTGGGAACCTTGCTTCTGTTTTATTGAAGAAGTTGGACTGGGACCTTTGAGTGAAGCTTGTGACCCTTGTTTCTGTTTTGCAGACAAAGCTGAACTGGGTACTTTGAGTGAAACTTGTGATCCTTGCTTCTGTTTGGCAGAAGAAACTGGACTGGGAACTTTGAGTGAAGCTTGTGATCCTTGCCTCTGTTTTGCAGAGGTAGCAGAACTGGGGACTTTCAAAGAAACCTGAGACCCTTGCTTCTGTTTTACTGAAGAGGTTGGACTAGGTACTTTGAGTGAAACTTGTGACCCCTGCTTCTGTTTGGCAGAAGAAGCTGGACTGGGGACTTTCAGGGAAACCTGTGACCCTTGCTTGTCTACCCCAGGTGATTTAGCTTCTGATCCCTTGGGTGTAGGTGAAACGCTACCCTGGGGTACCTGCAACGTCAATGATGCTCGAGACGGATTCTTCCTACTATCATTAGCTGAAGGTGGTTTTGACGCAGTGGGATCCTTTGGCACTTGAAGTGACGGTGAGGGAGTTGGTGCTTTTGGACTTGCATTATTTGTCTCTTTCGTTTCTACACTTTTTGGTGGCTCACTTGTCCCTTTTTCACCAGAGTTTTGAGACAAAGATGTCGCACTATCAGATGTTCCCTTTTCTTGCTCTATGGTCAGCTGAGTCTGTGTGTTTTCAGTATTCGATTTTATCTCATTGTTGCCAGCTGGTTCTTGTAGTGATGTTGTTGAAGGAACCGGGGTGGTTTTCTCTGACTTAGCTCCTGTTGGGGTTTGATTATTGGGTGAAGGTGGTGCAGGTGCTGGAGATGTTTTCTCCCCTGTCGTAGTTTGAATTTTGCTTTCTGGGGCAGGCGATGGAGACTTTTCTTTATCTGGAGCAGCTGCTTGCAACGATTCTGAAGATACCGCAGTGACAGCTTTCTCAGATTTTGCTGATGAGCTTTTTGGTGTCTGTGATGGCACATTCGGAGTGGTATTTACAACGGGGACATGTAATGTTGCTCCACCTGTGGTGGGGCTGGCTCGAGGGACTGGGGAGGAAGGCTTGGAGGAAGGGTTGTCTTGGGGAACCAGCAGAGAGCTGGCAGTTGGCGACTTCTGAGGAGAGGGTTCGGCGTCCACTGGCAACTGCAGGGATGCGGGTGTTACTGGTTCAGTGGGTTTCGCTTGCCCTGCTCCATGGCTTTCTTGTTTGATAATTGTACTCGGTGCTTCATCTGCTGCTTTGTTTTCGTTTGATCCATTCTCCTGTGTTGCTGGGACATTGTTACCTGAAGCTGCCGCACCAACCGTAGCACTTGTCTCAAGCGGTATTGTGACGGCAGTAAGTGGTTGGGGAGAAGGTTGAATGGCTGAATCAGGCTTTTTCTCAGAGACTGGAGGCGAAGCGGCTTTTGATGTCGACGATGACATTAATTTGTCATTTGTTTCTATCTTCACTACTGCTTGGGAAACCGTGGTTGATGAATTTTCTGATATTGTTGTTACATTTTTGGTTGCTGTTGTAGTTGCAACTGTCGTTGCTGTTGCTGTAACTGGTGCTGATGCTGCTGAAGAAGTTACTGTTGACGTCGCTGATGACTTTGTTGTTGTAACTGTTGTTGCTATTGTTACTGCTGCTGATGTAGCTGATGATGACGTTGCTGATGATGTCACTGTTGTAGTTGTTGTTGTAACTGTTGTCGCTGTCACTGCTGCTGAAGCTGATGATGAAGTTTCACTCGATGTAACTGTTGCTGTGGTTGCTGCTGTAACTGGTGCTGTTGTGGCTGTTGTAACTGCTGCCGTTGCTGTTGTTACAGATGATTTTGATGTATCTACTGTTGTCGCTGTAACTGATGTAGCGGTTGATACTGTCGCAGTTGTAGATGGATTTGACGTGGCCTGTTTTGTAACTTCTGTAACTGTGGTTGTTGTTGTGGACGCCGTTATACCCGCAGATACGCTGCTCGTGTTTGTCGTAGCTGCAGATGTTTGCACCTCATTCTTCTCTGTCTTTTCGTCACTCTTTTTTGCCGTGATATCGCTTTTACTTGTTGACGTGGCTATCACTTCCTTTTTCTCCTCAGATTCTTTTGTGATTGACACTGCAGTTACAATATTTTCCTGTGAAGGCACATCATCTGCGTCTTCATCAGTTTCTTCCTCGTCTTCATCAGTTTCGTACTCTGATGACTCTTCTTCTTCCTCTTCCTCCTCCTCTTCAGCTTTTGCAGTTTCAATTATTGGTTTCGTTGCTGTGTTGTTGGGAGATGTGGCCTGCTTTGGAGTATTATTTGGTGCCAACGCAGATGGACCTTGTGGTTTGGGGGTTGCGTTACTAACTGTTGTAGATTGTTTCTGGGCGGCATTGCTCACTGTCGTATTCTGTTTCTGTGTTCCAGGTGGGACATTTTTCAATGTTGAGTTGTTAACGGATAGTGTTGTGCCTTGTTTCTGTGTTCCGATTTTGTTAGAGACATTTGTTCCTTGTTTTTGGGCGACTGATACAGTTGTACCTTGCTTTTGAGCTGCAGATACAGTTGTGCCTTGCTTTTGAGCTGCGGATACAGTTGTGCCTTGCTTTGGAGCTGCTGATACAGTTGTACCTTGCTTTTGAGCAGTGGATACAGTTGTGCCTTGCTTTTGGGCGGTGGATACAGTTGTGCCTTGCTTTGGAGCTGCAGATACAGTTGTACCTTGCTTTTGAGCTATGGATACAGTTGCGCCTTGTTTCTGGGCGTTGGATACAGTTGTCCCTTGTTTTTGGGCAGTGGATACAGTTGTGCCTTGTTTTTGGGCGGTGGATAAAGTTGTGCCTTGTTTTTGGGCGGCCGATACAGTTGTGCCTTGTTTTGGAGCGGCACTGTTTGTGGCAACTTTTTTTTGACTCGCGTTATTAACAGTAACGGTCGCTGTCTCTTTCTCTTCTTTTTCAGAAGTACCTGTAATAGATACTGCGGTGACAATATTTTCCTGCGCCTGCCTGTGGTTGTCAGCATTTTCATCTTCGTCCTCGTCATCCGTCTCCTCCTCTGTTTCTTCCTCCTCATCGGTCTCGTATTGGGCACTGGTTGGCTTTGCGGTGGGTTGGTCGTCTTCGCTTTCTTCACTATCACTATATAAGCGGTTTCTACCTTGGATAGATTTTTCGTCCTCAGTGTCACTAGGTGGCGGCTTGGACGTTTTGGGTGGCGTGGGTGTTGGGGTGTCGTCATCATCGCTCTCTTCCACTTTGGCAGCCTGTGGCTTACCATTTGTGGTATTTGACTGCACTGCTTTAGAAGGGGGTGCCTTCGATGCTGTAGCGGGTTTCTGGGCTGAATTTTGAGAATTTGCTGCATTTGTTGCTTGTTGAGTTTTCGTGTCGCCGGGTTTTGGGGGCGTTTTGACAGCACTGCCTTTGTTGTTAGTGGACGCTTTTGTGTTAGCGTCAGTTCTGGGCGTTATAGTTACTTTTGGCACAGATGGCTCTTCCTCTTCTTCCTCCTCAGTTGATTCATCTGAAGGCGGTGGCTTTCCGTTAGTTGCTGCGTTTCCGTTAGCTTTAGGCGCAGTTTTGGAATTATTATTATTTTGTGCATTTTTCTTTGTCGTCCCTTCGTCTTCACTCTCTGTGTCGCTGTAGTTTATCTTACCCGACCGGATAGATCTGTAACATTAAACCCATATAAATAAGGTTATATTGATATAAAAAAGGATATATTGATATAAATAAGAAATAGAAAATTAAAAAAGCTTACTTCACAAACAGAAGTTACTTTCTATGTGCACGTGATTATGATTTTTTTCTGATCATTTGGTACAAAGGCCAATATTTCCAAGCATTGGGATGATTTCCGTGGCAATTCCCAAGACCAAACAAATAACATGCGATGTACAATGCAATTTTTTTTTTTCAAATTTAATTTGGTTCATGATGAAACATTCCACTGTACCTGGCTTGGCTTGTCACAGAACTTCTATCATCGTCACTAGGTAGGAGAGAGAAGGACACGGACTTCTTGAGCCCTGGCCTCTTCCGGCTGCCAGCGCTACTTGCTGTAGATCTGACGTCGTCATCGCTATCATCACTATAGGAGGGTGCCACGATTTTCTTTCCCCAGCCCGCGCGCGTGGCCGCGGGTTTGACGGGCTCGTCGTCACTGTCCGTGTCATCGTCCGCATCAGACGGGGGTGCTTTTTTCTTGAAAAGAAGTTTATTGTGATGAGTCATTTTAAAATGATATTATAAAAATGCTATTTTAAAAATAAACGATGCTACATTTGCAAGTTCAAGGAAATGGAAAAAAAGAAAGAAAAGAGAAAGAAGCAGTGAAGCATTTTGAGAGACAGGCTTAAAAAGGGGGGACATTAGAATATGTGAAAAATAACGTAACACAGTAGTTTCTTGATACTAGCAGCTTTAAATTCGAGAACAGGTTAAAACAAACAGTATATGACACACAATCAAATAGGAGTAATTTAGTTGGACCGCTAGACAATGTGAAAGGGCATGTACTGCCGTTTGCATATCACACCTTAAAATCATTCACATATTGTAAACAGTGCGACTTCATGAAAATATTACAATTTTTACAGACGATGGAATTTACACTAAGGGGTATGTTTTCTTTTTAAAGGACTTCCGCGCAGTACCATGATTGGTTTTGGTGGCGGCATTTCGTCTTCACTCTCCGTTTCTTCGGTTGCTATGGATGGTGACTTGTTCTTTTTCCAGAGTTGGTAGGTAGTTTTTGGGGTCGGTTCTCTGCTCTCGTCGGAGTCAGTAGAGGCAAAAGAGGCTGCTTGGGTATACTTAAGCAGTTTTGGAAGAAATTGAGCCTGAAAAAAAAGAGCATGGAGAGTGAATACTTTTTTCCCTGGACCAGTTTCACCAATAAACTGCACAGCATGAACGGAAATAATGACGTCGCAATATACCAATATTATACCCCCCCCCCCCCAAAAAAAAAAAAAAAAAAAAAAATGTAAGAAAAATCAGAAAAGAAAAATGTATATTCACTAAATAAACTGACTAATACATGCACGTTTAAAAACGCTTTTGAACTCCAAGCCCTATTGTTGAGAAATTTGATGGGTTGATGACGTCATATATCACATACGTCGAGATGGAGTACCCAGTTATAACTTATTAATGTCTACCTTTCAAAAGTATCAAGCAACAGAAATCTGGATTTTTCCATAAATGGCCAAGTATATGTAGTCTGAAGATATTTAGACCATTAGACATTTTGTTGATTTTATCACGGCAAATAATATTGCATAAGCTGAATCAATCACAGTAACTGATCGTAAAACCTTGAAGCATAAAACTGTAGTGTAGAGAGATGGTAATGGGAAAATGTATCATTTAGATCTCAATAAAATGTTTTCATTAGCATTATCATTATATGAGACATGTATTTTGAGATTCAGAGAATATTGTCTTCAGTATATAACTTTTGATAAGACACAACATTTTGCAAGGCGCTTCTTTAGCTTGTGACATGAATTATAGCAAGAAATTTGCATTATCCACAATTACGTCTATTCTGTTAAAATGCAGGTCGGTGGAAAAGCTACACTTTGCACAAACACTAACTATAAAATCACGTGTTTATATATCATGTGTTATATCATTTACAAAAAAATCCCTGAAGAAGGCCTTGTACTGCAATATTTTTTGCATGGCATTGAACACAATTTTATGTAGTGAAAGTTAACATTTAGATATTTTTCCAGCTTTCCATGATCAACTGTGTACGGTTAAAACTGTTAATCACTATATCATACTACTAAGAACCAGGCTGTAGTCAGCCGTAGTCTACCATTTACCTTTTCTCTTTAACAAAGCATCAAAAACATAACAAGTTTTATTTTGACGTATTCATTAAGCGTTACATCTATCTATCTATCTATCTATCTATCTATCTATTATTGTTTTTGGCATTTTCCCCATTATTTTTTTTCTTACTTTTCCAACACTACATAACACCATATTGCCGTGCGCCAAGGAATAATCTCAGTGACACTCTACTCACCACAACACCCGCCGTCCCAAGATTAAACTTCTTCTTTGGATCCATACTTAACCTTATTATCTCAATCGATGCAGCTTATTATAAAGCAGAGCCTGAAAGAAGAATATCACTTATGGTTATCCACTCACTAACTCACCTCTCTTTTTGGTCTGTTTCATAAAATGTCTGTATTTTTTCGACATTTTCTATCTACTGTGTTTCCGACATTGCAGGGCTCTCGTGGTACAGAAATTTGTTTGGTTGCTATAAACCTCCAGCTTTTCTGCACCAGTCGATACTTAACCCATAAAATCGAAGAAAATCGGTTCTACTGAATGCAGCTCCAGCAAGCATTCTTTTGTTTATGCATTTTATGGGACAAGCGATCACTAGGCTCATTTATGAATTATTGATATTGTTCAACTCGTAAGAATCAATCAGCCATTGTAAAAATGGCGATTGAGTTAAAATGATGGCGCGTGTATACAACATAGCACAGCACATTAAAATGTAAAGAATGAGGGGAATCAAGGCCCGTAGCCGAGGGGGGGGGGGGGGATTCGAAAGTACCGCCCTTTTTGTCAGGAAAAGGTCCATTCTGGGTAAAATTTGATCTAGGTACAGAAAGGTTTTACTGTAAAAAATCCACTTTTTGGGAAAAAGAAACCCCCTTTTGAAATTGCTAGCTACGGGCCTGATATTTGATAATGGATTGTTTTAGATCATAATTGATTCCCCTTACATAAAAAGGCAAAGAGATACACACTGTATCAAGGATCATTGATATAATGCCATCATCATTGTCATCACTGAGGTGCCCTTGACACGATGAAGTGTCGTTTCAGCACTTATGTAAGCGGTCTTGCAAAATAAATAAATAAATTTTTTATTCCGGCATTGAGTTTTTGGACTATGAATATTTAAACCGAGTACCAGAGGGGTGTTATGATAACTGTTGTGTAAAAGCTTTCAAGTAACAGAGACATAACTATGATACAGTAAAAAATGAAATTTCATATAATGATGACAGCTAAGGCTTTACCACACCGCTATTCCAGGTCACATTAAAGCAAAAATAAGTTTATACAAAATCTGAAAGGGAGTCGCCAGTCACTAAACGATATTACATACATTGCATGTAACATTAGGAGCAGGAGACAGCCCCTCCGCCGCCCCCGAGATATTTTGTAAAAGGCTAGCTTTTTCTTGCCATGAAATTCAACAGCTGAAATTCAACAGTTCCTCCTTCAAGCATTTTAACCCTACGGTCCTGAATTTAAATTTGTAGATTTTTTTAAAAAAGTATGGCATTCCTTCTTTCGCCACAAATGTCACATTAAAATAGTTGTGTGAGAAAGGTCAATAAATACATAGATGAAAAAAGTCCAGAAATAAAATACGTAAGATGTGACTGGTCAGAATAGGCAGTTTTTAAGTTCGAATTTGGAAACATGAGTAGCTTTGCAGGGTAATAGACATAAAAAATCAGTTATTAGTATGTGAAAGCTTGTCGGGATCCGAGAAGCAAAACATAATAGGATCGGTTTAGCATTATACCCTAGAGCAAACAGGAGCAAAATTGAATTACCACTTACGATATTTAAGACATGAGAGTCAATGAATATAATCGCCTAATACAAACACAATGAGCAAATATCAATTACAAGACCAACATCCGCTTCAATGAGCAGTAATACCGACGAAAGGGGGCGCCAATGAAGTTTGCTTAGTTACCCCGCTATCCAAAATCAATTATGCGATCGATCTGAAAGAAAATCTCCGCAGTAAGACTTTTTGTTCTTGTGTATAGCTGACATCGATGAAGGGTTCATTTAAGGAATAGTCATGCACCGATTATAGAGTTTGATTCGTGTGTTGTTTCGCAATTTTGACAGTTATGCCTCAACATGGTACTAATGTTTTGTGTGCTATTTGGTTCAAAAAATGAAAATTGTCATCGAAAGAAAATTACTCAGAATCGATTAAAAATACAAATTCAAAAGTCATATCGTCATAATTTGAAGCCAAAAACTTAGTGTTATTGCATTTGGGGTGTATTTGATATGTTAGATAACCTGTCTGGGCAAACAATAAATAGAAAAAAACTATCATAGAACCTCATACGGTTTTCATATTTTTTTCCAATAATCAAAATAAGCCTCCATTATCCGGGGACTGATTCTAAAACATGATAATAATAAAGAAATGGAAAAACATATTACTCTGCTGCTATATACAGTATACCCCAGTACTTAGTACCGCCCACATCTATCTTTAATAATTCAGCTTTTATTGTCCGTGAAAAACCTAAACCAGTGTTACGCCACGATAAATCGATTAAATGAATATTGGTGTGTGTGTGTGTGTGTGCGTGCGTGCGTGCGTGCGTGCGTGCGAGCGAGAGAGAGAGAGAGAGAGAGAGAGAGAGAGAGAGCAAAGTCACGGTAATGAACAATTTGCAAGTTATGATGAAAAAATCTAGCTATGTTATATATAATTGGGCAAAAAACAACAGTGGCTATTTACTCCTATTTAGATACTTTAATGTAATGAGTTTGTGTTTAAGAAACAATTGGGCATAAAATTCAAGATACTAATCCTTCGTTTTTATTTGTCATTTAATATTTATCTTTTACGAATCTAATCTCTGCTGCGAATGAATGTGTTGACTAAAAGAAAGATTAGTCTATTTATAATAAAACTAAAGAACAGGGCGGTTACCATTTTAACGTGCCTAATATTTTAGTTTAGACAAATTTAAGCAAAAGATCAAAATTTAAGATAACACGATATTTAAGAACCAAAAATACTACTGTTTATCGTAGTCAAAACTTATGTTTGCTGTTGTTTCCTTTCAAAAAGATAAAAAATTAAGATCGCTAGCTCACCGTAAACTGAATAAAGCACCATAACTCGCTTTCTGGTAAGTGGTTTTGTTGGAAGACGAGCAAACGCATACAATAAACCCAGTTCAGTCATGCCGACACGAAAATTGGAGACTTGGCAAAAAAAGCTAGAAGCACATCCCAGGTGACTCTCTCCGATGAGAAATCCCAAAGATCCTTCTGAATAAATACTTCAATAAAGCGCAGATAATGTATTTCTCAGACTATGTGATTTCCCTGATTTTAGCACCAGTAGTTCCCGTTCGCTGTGCTCGTTATTTCTTAATTTTTTCTAATCGTACCATTTTCTGACTCTGTTTGTTTGCCTGAGTGTTTTAAGACGACGATTAGCAACCATTGCTTCTCGGATCCTGACAGGCTTTGAAATACCAATAATGTTAGCAAGTCGCATCATACTCGGTAGCGCAGTTGTATTTATTTGACAAAGGGAGTTGAAATCAATTGTAAAACACTTTGAAGTTTTACCAGGGTCGAACGAAAAAAAGACCCGCGGATCGATTGGCTGAAAATTTCATTAGTCAATTAACCCTTCATAGAACACTGGTAATGTTAGATTGTATACGTGTAGTTGTAACAGGTGAATGCGTTCCCTCGGATTTTTCTCCGTGGTTCTATGCGGAACAAACATTTTGAATTATTCAAGTCTTAAGTGTTGTTGGCACTTCCACTGTATACGGTATAGCTTAATGCTGTTATTATGTTTGACTTCATTTGAGACAATACGCAGTGTCAGGGTAGTATTACTGTGACATCGGGTTCAACTGACTGCTAAACAAACCGCCGTGCACGCATGGGCGTTCGTTTTCACGTGTTTGCGAGTGTGAATGTGCTTGTGTAAGTACGTGGTTATTTTTCATACTACATGCTCATAACATAAAGATTATTTGTTTTCCATATTTGCGGGTTAACATAGCTCATAATTCTTGCACAAATTAAATGCGGACTTCTCCTTAAATATTGGTATTATACCATGCTTCATTAAAAACCACATAAATCGATGGATTAGACATAATATAGATAATCAATAGTAAATATAAACATATCGGTAGGAATAGCTTTATTTTCCATTATCAGTTGCTATTTTTAAAAAGCATTACCTTTTAAAAATAGGTAGTTAATGACTTTTTTCGACTAAAACACTTTCAATTTTCTTTTTTATTATGATTATCAGGAATATATAGATAACAAGCAATTCAACAACCATATTGTTAATAGGGATAATAAATTCAGAAAATTTGCTTCATTATCATATTTAAAGTACAGTCCTCCTAGAAGAGAGGCTACATGCTTTTATATACAGTAAAAAAATGTAACTCTGTGTAGGTTTCTCCATGAGCTAAGTTAATATGCAAATAAATACATCCACGCTCTGTCCATATAAAGAATTATCATTATAAAGCGGCGTTTTTACTTTATTTCTCCTTTCTGAACACTATCTATGTAATCATACGTCTTAAGAAAGGTTGTTTAAAAATGCGTCTTTTGTCAGTTCTTCGAGAAAGATCGATATACAATATCTGTATCTTTAATCCCGTACCTGTAAACGGCCCGTTTCGCTAAAAAACGTTTACTACTAAAACGAAACCTCCCCTAGAGTTCCAGGTATTTTCTATTTCTCTTTCTGGGAAATAGCATAGTCGCTTCATCTGAGCGGACTTCTAATGAATCATAACCAAGACAGAAGTTGTTATTCCTTTTTTTCCAAAATTTCAGCCTCTTTGTTCCATTCAAAAATGTCTTGTGATCACATCACACCACTTGCTGCGCCCCCTGAAATAATACAAAATGGGTTAAAGACGCCCTTCTGGTGAACTCATCTAGATATATTAAAAAGAAAAAGCACACATTATCAAGGGGCAATCCAAAGTGCACGCTTTTAAGGGTGCGCATGCGCAACAGGAAGGAAACTCACCGTGGGAGCCATGGTGTCGTGGGACACGGCGAGAACCGGGGCAGTGTTAGCCTGCAAAGGAGAGAGATAGAGATGTTTCATTTTTAAAAACTATATTTTTGATCAGTGTTTTTAAATTAAAGTCATTGTGTAAGATATAGTGAGATTTTAGTGGTAGGGGTCAATATTATTATTATTACCTCTGCTGATAAGACTGTGATTTCTGCTACCGCTGTTATGTCCTGCAACAAATAAAAATGCATAAATTATGGTCCTCATCAAAACAATTCTTTAATAAAGTGTTCAATTATTTGATAATTACAACTATCAGAAATCCGCAAAAAAAAGGTCTTCAGACTAAAAAAGTAAAACACGAATTAAAGTCAGAAGCACAGCACATATTTCCCTTTTTTTTTTTTTTTTTTTTTTTTTTGTTGTTGTTACTTTGTGAGATCATTATTTCCAAGACTTTTGACTACAGTTACCAAGTGTTTCCGAAATAAGAAAACTGCATGAAAACTGGTAAAGTGGTATAACTGGGCATGTGCAGGCAAGGTTTGGATAGAAACAAACGGATGACACCAGTCACTCTCATGCAGGTTTATAAAACACTTTGCACAAGTGATTACAGGTAACATTCTCTTGCAAAACAAAAACATCACGGAAACCTGCATTGGGCCAGCCTGATTATCAGAATCACGTTTTACAAGTCTGCATTGCCATAGTGCCCTGGGAAAGCAGTGTTATACAGGGTGGTATTGGGCATGCGCGCAGAAAGCTCAAGACACTCCCACGTGGAGCATATGTAGGAATACACAAAACATGACAGCATGCAGCAATAAACCACTGAATGAACAAGCGAAAGCACATTTAAAGCGTGAAACATCAGAGTTCTCATGCAAGTACTTCCCCATCCGCATTGGTCCAACCCCACTACCGACGATTTCTGGCGTCAGTTCCACAAAACGGCGAGTCTTGGCAAAGATTTGTGAGAATTTTATCCAAATAATTTTCTTTTAATCAAAAAGGCCGCTTACCTGACCTTTAAGTCTCTTCTTAACAAAACCATAAAGCATAGTGCCAGGTCGACTAAGCGTAGTTGGCTATCCGAAACTGAGCCCCTGTTGCACGGAGCTTGCAACAGCATGGAAAACGAATTTTGGTCCACTGTCGCTATAGTAACAGTGGGCCCAAAATTCGTTCTCCAAACGGTCGCAGAAGCGGTGTAACAGGGGCTTTAGCAGTCATTTGTTATGAAATGAAATAAACCCCAGAACGTGAGGCCTTTTGAAAAACAGACCCCTGAGGAAACATTTATCAAACAAGCCACAACATGTATCACTTCAAAAGCTCAACCACCGCATATGTTCTTCTTTAGTTATGTACCTCACTGGCGCCGGCTTTTACTTTCTTTTTCTTCTTCTTTTTCTTCTGTTTTGGGAAAAAGGAAATAGTAATAAAAGCTACTCTAAACACGTCTAAAATGTTTTGCTGCTTTCAAGTACAAGAAAAGAAAAAATACACCTCTAAAAATATGTCTACACTAGTGACTTCATCTAAGAATGTCAAGTATATTTGTATACTATTGCATATAAAAAAATTACAAAAGGGGCCACGTTAGCAACGTTAACATTGTGCAATATTGTATACTGTAAGTCAAAATCCATTTGGAATCAATATTGCTTACAGCCTTAAACAAGTCAACAACGAGTCCGACAATACTTGTTTCGACTTTTTTACATTTTCTTTTTGGAATAAGTTTTTTATATATTGGTCAATATCTTTTAATGGTTGTAAAATAATGTTGTTGGCCTGAAGGGAAAATGTCGACATCAGACACTTTTTTTGTCTGTCTGAGACTCCCAAAAAGTGGTATAGGTATCTAAGACAAAACAATGATTAGAAATAATTCTTCGTGTTAATTATTGAATAAAATATGACTCACTTGTGCGTTTGTGTTTTCGTTTTGTGATTTATAATTTTTGGGAGACTATTTTGTTAAGAGAGATGGCTAGATGTAAGTTTCACATTTCTTTTATCGTTTAAACTATGAAGGTTATTTATAACGTTATTCATAATTTATTCATGTTATAACAACCCTTACCTTTTCATCGCCTCCCGCGTCTGTCGCTGTGGCGTCAATCTGCGGCTGAATGGTAAAATATTGTATATGTATAAAGCACTTGCCAATTAAAAAGTGAGAGCTTGAGACTCACTCAAATCGAACACATTAAATTTTCATCTGTTACATGTTTTCAAGACTTAGTTATACGCTTGAAAATAAGTGGTGATGCGCACGCGAGCGCGTGTATGCAATGAATGCGCACGTATATCTATACATGTAAGTGTATTCAAAATTAATTTAAAATCCCGAAAGTTTGGGATTATACGCATGGTTTTCTACTTACAAGGGGAACAACTGACGACTGTGGTCTATGTTTGTTTGCAGTCTTTGGAGTCCCAATAGTTGGCTGAAAAGTTATACAATATTATGTTAAATAATTCATCCTATAAGTTAAATGATATAAAACTAGGTGTTCAATTCCCCTTTTTACAGATTAATTTGATAAATGATTCTTTTTTAAAAAAGGGCCCTTACCCCTGCCATCAATTGTAAAACCTTTAGTCTAAATAGCAATCTGTTTATGTCTTCAAATATCCGGTCAATACGCTGTATTATTGAATTACGTATGTTGGGATCTTCAGTAATATCATTATTTTCTAACTATAAAAAGCGTCGCATTTACCAAAAAGGACTCTCCTTTGTTTTTATTTTCCCCTTGTTGTTCTTGTTCAGAGTTTGTGTTTGGTGCATCCTGTAAAATACAAAATGGGGTCTATATGAAAAATAACGTTATATAAATAGAAAAATGGCGGACCAGAATGGCTCTGACCTTTTCGCTGACTGTGGGAAGCTAAGTTTCAGGAATGACTGAAAACGGCGGGATTGCCCTACAGCAATTAACATGAGACTACAAGCTCTTCGACAATATATCAATGAAGCATTAAAGTATGTAAATATGAAGTTCAAGCAATCGCCCATAATAACTGTAACATAAGAATGTCAAATTTGTAAACCATTAATCGATTAGGCCTACTATATCAAATAATAGGTCAATGCAAATGTTTGACTGTCAAGAATTACCATTTCCCGACTTCCATACTAAAGCAGCTAGGATGACAAAAACTATGAACAGAATCTCACCTCGCCATTGGAAAGAGGCTCTGTTGGTTGCACTGGTTCGGCACCCGATGCTATTCCCGTTGCTATGACAGCATTGGCAGCAGCTACCAGTTTCTTCTTTTTCTTTACTTTCTTCTTTTTCTTATCTGCCCCTTCATCGGCATCTCCGTCGGCTCCTTCGTTTTCACCAGCCTCACCGACTTTCTTTTTCTTCTTGATCACTTTCTTTTTCTTGTCGTCAGATGCAGCTTCACCGGGTAACTCAGCGCCATCTTGCGGAGTAGTTGTGTCGTCTGGGTACGGGTTTTTCCCGCCAATTCCTGGTAGCGGTTGGTATGGATTCAACTGAGGTTCTCCTTTACTTTGAATTGTGTTGGTCACCGTGGTAGAATCGCTCCCTCCTGCTTCTGGACCACTGGGATCGATTTGACCGTCACTATTGTGCTCTGTTTCAGATGTGGCCGCAATCGTGACGTCAGTAGGTGTTGTGACGTCAATATCGTTCCTCGTGGCAGTATCCACCTCTGAAGAAGCTATCTCTGTGACTGCACCTTGTTGCAAATTATTTGTCATTGTTTCTTTTGAAATTTCAACAGGTGTAATGTCACTAAAAACAGGGGCGCCTAATTTGGCATCTGGCTCGACAGTTTTTTGGGCGTTTGAAATGTTTTTAGTTGGCAAAACAGTATTGTTTGAGTTGGTCGTGATCGGTTTGATGTTTGGCGTTGTCTTCATTTCGTTATGTTTTACCGGCGCAACAGCAATCGCTGGTTGAGTTGTCTGAAAAATATGACATTTCATAGTTGAAACCTAGAAATAAATGTTACAGATGTTCAACGTTATCGTTCAAAAAATCCATTTTGAATCTATAATTACAAACAGTATTGGCATCCACAAAAAAATGACATTCACACGTTTTGTCTAATTGACAGTCCAATGTAACGAAGCCAATATATGAATATACATGAATCATTTAACCCCAATTTTCATCTCGAACGCAACAACGCGAAAATTTCAAGTAAAGTGATTTTATGCCAGTTGAACAAGATGCTCTCTAATAAAAGATAAAAAATAAAATAAATTATATCACAGAAAATAAAGATGATACAGGTTATTTATCAAAATAGACTGGTAGCGCATGTACCTGCTCCGTTGCTGAAGATACAGCCGCGTTCGTTGTGGGGTCAGGTGGCGTATCTTGGTCTGTAGGTTTTTTGTCTTTCTTTTTCTTCTTAAATGCATTTGCCGCTGTGACGAGAGCGCTCATGGACGAGATGACCTGGGCGTCTACTGGGACTGTCTTGGTCTTCACCCACAGGACCTTCTTGATCTTTTTAACCTTTGGTGGCGGCGCCTACAATAAATTAAGAATAGGAATGAACGAATGAATGAATGAATTTATGGATTAGTGAATTAATGAATGGGTACTGAATGAGTGATATATGGGGGAAGGGTGGGGTGGGGGGAAGGGAGGGAGGGAGTGAAGGACGGTGAATACCAGACATATTGTGAGTTTATAATGTAGTGCTTAGGTGAGTTATTACGTGAATTGGTTAATTAAATATTAAATTAGTTAATAAGTGCATGAGACAATAAATTGGTGAGCTAAGAAAGAAGTGAGTTAGTGTGTTAGTGACAACGGGCACTAGAGCCCAGGAAACATGAAGCATTTGTATACTCAATGTTGACAATATATTGTTATATACATAAGATTTTAAGCAAAATTTGCCTTTTTGGGGGGCACAAGGGAAATAAAACAAAAAAGAAATTACAATAACGAACTTTCATTTCGAACCTCTTTCACCTGTAGAAAAATATCGGAATGACACCCCTTAAATGAAATTCCTTCATACCTGTTCCTTTTCTTCTTTCTTTTCCTCTTTATCTTCAGACACGTCCTCCATCACGAGAACCTGCACCTCGTCTCCTGTCGTCTCAGCGTTCGCTTTCGTGTTGTCCGACAGGATGTCCTGTAAATCCGGTTTTCGGCGCTCCTCTGAAACGAGGCCATTTCACAGTGTTAATAATTATTTTCTTTTTTTGATTCGTAATTTTTTATTTAAACCTAAACCGTCAACGCTTCGCATGCCTGAGCCAACAAAAATTCTATTGATATGGAACGTTGAGGATAATCACAATTTAAAGCACATGTGACAACGTGCAAAATAACTAAAAAAAAAGCCTCTTAGATATGACGACAAATGACGCCAAGTATACAAAGCGCCCTCTTACGCAGGTATTTTCTAAAATAATTACTATTTCAAAGTAGTATTCTTTAAAAGATAAATTTAAATTGTTTTTAAGATGCAGAAATTATATGAAAACATATAATTCCTTCACAAAATAAATAAATAAATAAATGAGCAATCCACTTCCCCATCCCATCCTCCTTCATTTCTAGATCCAGATTCAGGACGGACAGGGAAGATAACATACCTAAGACTCCCTTCAACATGGCTTGTTTCTCCTTCAATTCTTCATAGTCTTCATTCATCATCTTCACCGTTTTCTTCGAGTGCCCTATTTGCGTTAGCACGCTGCTGCTCTCTTTGGCGTAGATACGCCTCATCGCTCGCAGAAACACGATCTAAAATTTATCAGAATAAATATTTACTTGAAGGAATTATTTGATCATGCAATATATGCTCAGTATAAACCTGATCAAGTTGAATTTCATTTCTGTATCTTCGTCGTCTTTGAAAAGGTCCCAACCCTTTTTTTAAAAGAGTATTAAAATACTCTACTATTAATAGTCACAATGCACTGATGCACTATCGGTCACAATTGAAATATATATAAAGCCACGCTTTAGAGTTTGCTACCAAGACCGTAACGTATCATTTACTAATTCCGACAACAAATAAAATTCCGCTGATATTATCAGATAGACATACAAAAGGTACACGTATTTAGTGAGATGCATTCTTATATGTGGCACACAGGATGAGAAATTATGCACGAATGTGGACAGAACGTGAATTCCAGCGTTCTGTCGAGAAAGGTCACGTCCAGCTAGTCTTCTTTCATAAGCAATTAATTAATAAGTTAAATACACTGCGCGAGATGTTTTTCTCGGAACAGGCCAAGAAACGTAAGCATGTGCGCGCACGCTAGAGTATGTCAGTGATTTTATATCCACTTTTTATTCTTTTACAAGTTCAGCAGAGCAAAATAGTGATGTTTTTCTCTGCCCAGATGACCATAGGCGAATACTCTCTCAGAGGAGGTAGAGTTTTAAAAAGTTTGCCACATGAATGTAAACTGAACGAAGAAAAAATATGAGAAAAAACAGAAACATGTCAAGTTACCGTACACGCACAGCAAGACATTCTCCCACTCATCCACGCGCGAACAAACACATAAATCGATACAATTCATGGTGGTTTGGGTCTTAAAAGTCTCAACAAGGGGCCCATTATCTGTCTTGTCACCTCTTAATTATTGTTCTTTTTTATTGTTTTAAAGGTTAAACTATCGTTAAAATTAAAAATACCGTTTTTCAGGTTTACCACAGCTGTAAATGTTTTAGTGTAACTATCACGTTATGCAAATACATGTACACATTGTAAAAAAAGTAATCCTGCTTTATGTGCCATACTTTAACCGTTGATTTAAATCAAGGAGGCAAGAGAAGTTTAAAGAAACTTAAAATTAGAAAAAAAAAGAGACAGAAAATTAAAAGCAAAGGATCTAACCTGCATCTCCGGCTTCATTTTACTCAGTTTATCCTGGACCTCCTCGTTTTCCCAAATGTCACTCATCTTGATCTTTTTTTGTATTATCTCAATAAGCAGCCTTTATTGGATGTGTCATCTAAGAAGTACCACAATTCAGTTAATGAGCAAGATTCCCGTTGTAACTGTCACCATACATGTACATGTATCTCTCCTTTGGCTAGTCATGTCAGGCTGGAGGAAACGTGACAGACCTTGTGGTGAAGTTTGTCAGAGACGCAGGCTTATTTTTCTTGATTTTTCTTAAGTTTTTTATCCAATGACTGAAGAGTACTTGACTCCGCTCATTTCTAACTTTATCGTGAAGTTAAACGCCTTTCTTTGGGAGAAAAAGTGTCTAAGAGCTCAGTGGAGCTGCCAAACGCCTTTCTCGTCCTCCATTTTGAGAAAAGTTTCAAATTGATTATTGGGGCTTTCGCAAGAAATCAATTCGACCATGGTGAAACAGAAAACACAACATTTCTTGAAAGAAATATCGAATAATTCAATATAAAGGACTGCGTGTGCTATGGATATTGGATTTGTGCAATATGGGATGCAGAACAAGAGGTTGGTTATCGTCTGCCGGGTAGAGCCTCCTTATGCAGACGATTGTCAAAACGCCACGTGGTGAACGGAACTGAGAATAATTTCTTTAAAATCAGTTATCGGTTTGAGGAATTTCTTTTTGACATTCTTATAAGTCGGACGCAAAATTTTAGTGGCTTTTTTATGTTTTCGTCTCAGACAAATAAATAAAAAAAGTACTTGTCTTTTGGGCCTTTTATGATAGTCTTTTCTTATTGTCCATCGTAGGGCTGGGGGTGGGGTTATATTTGCAATTCTTAAAATCATGCGTTTGTTTGAAGAGATTACTTACTTTCGAACCAGGAACTCCAGAAAACAGAAAATAAGACAAAATAAATTGCTGAATTTATATTAAGACCTTTTTGAACCAGGAACTCAGCCTCCTCAAATAAAAAAGAAACGGTGAAAAGTTAAAATACCACACAAAAAACTACGCCATATTGTTAGACGACCATAAATTTAACACGACTCACATTTGACCAATATTCTCGGTCTTGGTAATACTAAGAATACACGGATCATTACACAAATTTAATCGTGACGGCTGTGACAACGGGTATTGACGATTGAACCCGGGACCTCGCTACCTGTATTTTGGCAACCTGGCCCAGGATCAATAGGGGTCATTAAGTTATGTATATATAACTGGCCTGGTGTGTTACCGTGTTTAGTAACGATGTCAAAAATCAAAACATACCGTTGATCATTCACTGCCTGGTGATCAATCGGTATAAAATAAGGCAAAGGAAGACAGGATTGAGGCAAATTTACGATAAAACGTCGACCATATTGTGGTAAATGACTTTTTTAAATATAAATTTATGTTACATGCAGGAGTATGTATGTTGCTTCATGCCCTTATTTAAACATTTTTAGATCACAAAGTTATGTACTGTTCAAAAGCGTTGAGAAAAAACCGCCCTATATACCCGTTTTGAAGTTCTCATTTCTTATTTTGAGTCCGAAACATTCAACTTCAACAAAGAGGAAGACATTCCCGTTCATCAAATCAACAAACAACAAGGAGTCAAAATGTTTAAAACATTTTAATGAGTTTTAAGCCAGTTCCCCCTCCAGTATTGTTTGGTGCCTGCCGAAAGGCCAACCAACGCACACATTAACTTCAATAATTACACTGTTAGCTACGGTTTGAAAAAACAAAACCAAAAACCAACTTTGTTCAACTCCTACAAAGTATCTCTGTTAAATCTATTCAAACCCTTTCACTCTCAGTGCAAACAATTTCAACTGATAACAGGAACGGGTCTTTAAGACCTATAATGGACAATTATTGTGATACAAATATTTACTGTCTTACTAAATCAATAAAAGATAAAGATTTTCCAGGAATTTCCTGATCCAATATCTCCAATGTATGACTGGCAATATGCATTATAATATGTATTTTGCTTAATTCACTGTGACAAAGTTTAAGTATACAAGTAGATGGCAGCACCCGATTTGTTCTTAGTATTATGCGGTAGTGTATTTCTAGAAAGTCAAGCGATGGTGTCTAGCAGTTACTTTTTTAGAGTCCACGATATTTGTGGTAACAATCCAAAATTCTCACTTAATGGTTGGGAAGTAATTGGGTAGCCATAGTCGCTTAAAAAAGGGTAATAATTGTGACAAGACAAGACAAAATTTTCTACAGGCTATTATCTACAACCCTTCTTTTAAAAAGTCAACTGAAATAAACAAATGAAGATGGCACAAGAAAATTATAATTAAAAAAAAAAAAAAATTCACGTTTTCACAATATTGGCATAACAAGAGTGGCTGGTTTTCTGTTACCATGTAGACAAGTCTGTGGTAGCAGAAAAAAAAAAAGATCTCAAAATTCCTTGGCGCTGGGTCCCATTTGCGAAGGGCTGAAATAAAATGACTGAGAAATGTCTAAATCTTGGAGGTGACGGCTAGAGGGGTTCATTTCTTGCTGTGGATGTATGCTAGGAGGTCCACCACTCGGCAGCTGTATCCAAACTCGTTGTCGTACCTGAAAGATGACCAATGAATTTTAAAAATTAAAAAAAAAATTTTTTTTTCAGGAGGACGTAGAGATAACCTTCAGCATTTTGGTGCAACAGGAATGGTAGCCCACTAGGAACCATAGTCCATTCCACATTACTTTGTACAGGTGGCATTTGCCCATATACTAACCCCAATACTAACCCTAACCTGTACTAAAAATACGGGGCCCTGGACTTCCATGCCTGGGACTACCATTTCTGTAACACTGCCACTCGGTGCCGACAGACTTATATTAGATTTTCTCTGACAATCCCATAACTCCTGTCTCTTCCCTCACTTACCAGGAGACGACCTTGACAAAGTTGTCATTCAGGGAGATTCCAGCCTTGGCATCGAAAATGCTGCTGCGCTCATCTCCGTTGAAATCGGAGTTGACAACCATGTCCTCGGTGTAGCCTAGCACTCCCTTCAGTGAACTCTCCGAAGCCTCCTTCATGGCAGCACAGATGTCAGCATATGGAGCCTGTCAGTATACATTTGATTTCAATTTCAAGGTTTATAAAGGTATATATCCTGATAAAGTATGTGTTTATTACAGTTTTTGTAGCTTTTCAGGCCCACAGCCTGGGGGCAGTGCCGGTGGGATGAGGTGGAGATGGGGGGAGGGTTCCTGTGGGTTAGAAAGATCAGCCCTTTTTGTCAGGAAAAGCACCATTCTGGGTAAAATTTGATCTAGGTACACAAAAGTTTCATTATAAAAGGTCCAGTTTCTTTTACAAAAAAAGACCCCCCCTCCCCCCTTTTTGAACTTGCTGGCTACAGGCCTGCTTTCATTTCTGAATCGCTCTCTGGTGCTGGTCTCAAAATAGAATTCAGGTCGAAAATTGGTCTAAAGTGAAAGACTTAAGGTTTTAGTCAACTCTGGCCAAGATAAATCACTGGTAGTGAGCACTCATCCCTTTACCTGTGAGCTCATTCATCACTTAAAAACTAAAAAATGAATATTTTTGAATGTGTGAATCCCACGGAGCCATTTAAGGTGACAAACTTCTCAAAATGATCAAGAGGCCTATTTTCAAAATTTTCAAAGTTTAAAAAACAATGTCAGCAGAGAATCGTCTTGTGACAAAATTTCAAGATAGACTATATTCTCAAGTTTTAACTAAATCCCATCCAGCACTTACCCCTGCCTTAAGGCGGCATGTCAGGTCCACAACTGAAACATTGGCCACGGGCACACGAAATGCCATACCTGTCAGTTTACTGGAAACCAGAATGGAACAATTACATAAAATTAAAATATGTAAAACTTTAATTTTTATTGTCCTATGCACTAAGCCTCAGGTTTTCAAAGGCAAGCAGGACTAGCTATTTTGTTTCAGAAAACTATTACATTTTGTACTGTAATCTTATAAACAGGAAATATTTCATTGGTAAGAAAAAAATGTATATTCCCCCCCTCCAAAATAAATAAATAAATAAATAAATAAATAAATAAAAATAAGAAGATTAATAATAATAATGATTAATAATAATAATAATTAATAATAATAAACACTGTTACCCATTGAGTTCTGGGATAACTTTGCCTACAGCCTTGGCAGCACCAGTGGAAGAGGGGATGATGTTTGTAGCAGCTGTACGTCCACCGCGCCAGTCCTGTAATAACAATTGGCATGTCACTGCTGTCTTTTCTCGCACAATCTAAATACGTCACAGCTGTCTTCTCTAGAGCCAACAAAACCTGAATATGTCACAACTGCCTTCTCTACCGCATTTTTTAAATCAAAGAACAGAATCTTAAAATGTGTCACATCTGTCTTCTCTGTTGCATTTTCTATACCTTCCAACACAATCTACACACATGCCACGCCTAGGACTAGACATCTGGACCAGACCATCCACAAAACGCTCACCTTGGCACTTGGTCCATCTACAGTCTTCTGTGTGGCCGTGTAGGCGTGGACAGTGGTCATCAGTCCCTCCACAATGCCAAACTTGTCGTTAAGCACCTTGGCTACGGGAGCCAGGCAGTTTGTTGTGCAGGAAGCATTACTGGATATAAAAAACATTATATAATAACAGTAAGTTTTTTTTTTTTTACTATTTCCGTTAGTATAAAACTGAATTTTTTGCAACAAATTCATTCTTTCCAAAGACAGCAAGACAGCAGTTGATGGGAGCTGCTTAAAACAACAATTCTGTGCATGTCAGAGGACAAGGATGAGACTTTTTGTGCCCCCCCCCCCCCAAAAAAAAAAAAGTAAATCTCAACCCTCAACTAACAATCTCTCTTCGTAAGATCTATATTTTATAAACACTACAGCACATGTAACTGTTGATTTTCAGTTGGCATGCATGCTCATTTGTAGGGTCAAGAGACTGCATACATGAGTGCACCTTACCTAATGACAGGCATGCTGGGGTCGTATTTTCCTTCATTGACGCCCATCACAAACATGGGTGCATCTGCTGAGGGTGCAGAGATCACCACTTTCTTTGCTCCGCCCTTTGCAATATGAGGCTAAAACAAAAGAAACATACATACAGGTTGTACAACAAGTTTTTTATACGAGTGACCATATCACGCTCAAGAGCTTTTGTTAACTATGTATTCAAATGTCAAATGCAGTTTGTCCACATCTGATTGTTCGTCCCGATTCAATGCATTCTTTCCTAGGACCCATTTTAGAACTTAATTAATTCCTAGCAAATTTGTATATGTGTGTGGGGGCGCGGACACAACTAAAAAGAGGATACAGATAAAATAATGTCTTGGATTCAGACCCCATTACGGGGTCCACTACTCTTGTCTGTTTGTGAAACAGATTCTTTGGTTGTTGTGATAAAACAGTCAGATTCATGAGGTTACTTCAATACGATTTCAGTTTGAATGTTGCTGTATTTTCCAGACGCTAACCAAGTAATCACAAGTTATACTCTACCTACCATTGCCTTTTCCACAGTGGTGAAAACACCCGTGGATTCTACTACATACTCGGCTCCAGCACTCCCCCACATAATTTTTTCAGGCTCTCTCCTGAAAGATTATAAAAAACATCTAATCAACAACTTTTCATTAAATCATTTATAAAGGACTGGAAATAGTTCTACATTAACTGCTACTACTTCACTACTTTTATGGTCGTTGTGAGGTCTTAATTACTTCACACCTTATGAGCTGTACATCAAACAAACTCTCCTGCTTGAGGTTATATCTCGTATCATGTAACATATACCATCCACTGCCACGCGGGAACTATAAATATACAGAATGCATATTATCCATTACTGCCAGCAATACACATTTCCTACGTTATGTGTTACTGCTATACTGCTGCTGCTTCTGTAATAACTACTGCTGCTACTACTAATGCTACTACAAACTGTAGCCAGCAATTTCAAAGGGGCGGGGGTGTCTTTCTCTGAAAAAGTGGACCCTTTAGCTAGATCAAATTTTACCCATTGTGGACCTTTTCCCCCCGAAAAAGGGGCAATTCTTTCGAACCCCTCAAACCCCCATGGCTACCACCTGTACTACTACTAACTGCTGCTGCTGCTGCTACTACTGCTACTGCTGCTACTACTACTAGAGCTGTAAACTTACTCTTGGAATACAGTAATGGCGTGGCCATCCACCACCAGTTTGCCGCCTTCTGCCTTCACTTCTCCTGGGTACCGACCATGGGTGGAGTCGTACTTAAACATGTACACCTAGGAGAAAGACCAGTAATAATGACTACCACATGGGTTACAGACCAAACAGACCATGAAGCAAAATTAATTTATCCAGGGCCCCCACATCTCGAAAGCATTGCGCATTGCGACCGTGCGCAAGTGTCTCGATTCCACAACTTGCCCATACTCGCCCAAAAATAATACCTTGTAGCCTCTATTAGGTGATATCGCCATATTCGCAATACGCGATGCTTTCGAGATACGGGGCCCAGGTAAACATAAAAGAAAACACCTTTTTTTTCCTCCACTCTCGATTATATCACTGAAAGTTCATGAGAGCTGCCCCCAACTGTTGTGTTCTTAACTAAGGTAATCGTTGTGGGTTCCCCATTTATGTATTACCATGTTAACTGTTATCAGAGGGAGAAGGGCCACTCACCATGTAGTCCAGAGCAATGAAAGGATCGTTGACAGCTACTACATTGACTGTTCCTTTCTTGAGGGCAGCTCGTAGCACGAGACGACCAATACGGCCAAATCTGCAATAATAGCAATTATAAATATAGCAATCATATCTTACTGTTTATATTTCAAGACCTAATATTTTATGTCATGTTTGAAATGAATATGGGTTAAATACATTGACTTTTTATAGAAAAAATATTTTTTTATTTCATAAAATTGCTGAATTTTACTTAAAAAGTTAAACCATGCAAATATTTTAATATATAAAAGAAGGAATGAAAGAATGGCGTAAATTGTCACAGATGTTTCGAAGTGCAGAAAGATACTGGTGTGGGGTAGTCAACACGTGCTTTGGCCACAAACACTGAATGGGGATCACACCAATGTTATCATTATATAGGTCAAAGAATTTATAAAGCACCACAGGTTCACCTGACATAAAACAGGATGTAAAAAGTTTTTTTCTGTTTCTTAATTTGTAAGCCAAAGCGAGTTAGCATTTGGTGAACAATTCATCAGCTAGCACTGACCTCAAATAAGTAGTGAACTAGCATTCACTAAATACTTCTTTAATGCAAAAATTCAAAAGCATCCTTCCAAAATCAAAAGTGAATCCTGAGTAAAACTGAAACTTTACTCATATAATGAAAATGAACTCAATTTTGCCATTTTCAATTAGATGTACTCCAGGCAAGGGGAGTTTTAGGGGCAATTTACTGCAACAAGTAGGATTACTGGACATAAATCATACAAATCTAGGTCATACAGAAGCAGGTATCACTCCACCTCCAACACAACCTGTACAATGAGACTGTGCTCAACCCCAGCACAATTTGTATCAGTATTGCATAGACAATTTGATTCCATTTTCATTGTAGTATAGCCAACATTGGTCAAGTGCTTATTTATATAAAAAAATTCTAGACAGCTGAAGAAAATGTCAAAGTCTAATTAATTTCTGTCAAAGTTTGTCCTTGATTTGAATCGACATTACGATTTTACTATAATCATCCAGGCATTAAGAGAAAAAAAATCCATCCCCGAAATTAAAATTAAGCTCAAGATAATTGGATCTTTACTAAATTTTTTCCCAAACTATCCTTAATTTAATTAGTTTCAAATACATGTTGGCTAAACTCATCAGGGCATCTGGCAGAATAAAAAGTACAACAGTTTTCAGATATCACTGAAGAACCCTCCCCATCAGTAAGGGGCATATATGCAATGGAATGTACAGGTAGGGCATATAAGCAATGGAATGTACAGGTAGACCAGGAGAGGCAGGTATATATTACAGCTGGCACTGTACACTGAAGATCAGACAGATCAGGTTACATTGACCAGGTACACACTAGCAGGATAGTGGTAGATAGCATTCACTCTCAACTGACCACCTGCTGCATATATATATATATATATATATATATATATATATATATATATATATATATATATATATATATGTAACTGTGTGCCAGATCCTGAATTAATTCTTCAGTTCTGAAAGTGGACCTTTAAAATAATATTTCCTTAATTACAAGTGCCTATCATGTAACTCTATAAGGTTGGTGGAGGGGGAGGAAGAGGAGGATATGGTAACCCCTCCCCTTTCATAACAGTACTTGGCGTAAGGGCAGAAGAGGAAATCGGTGGTAATACAGTTTTCTTTACCAGATGTCCCTCAGCCTGTATGAAGTACCTGTACTTTTATAATAGATAAATTATTTGACTAGCACCTGTTGAACAGACACATAAATCTACTACCTGATATAAGGCAATGATGATCATGGGCAAGACAGACACCTGGGTCAGTTAGACAGAAGTGACTGGTTTATCTTAAGGCACAGACATAAGCCGGAGTTAAAAAAAAAAAAAAAAAAAAACTGAACATTTATCATGGGACCCAACTCCTAACCTTGATGAATCTCAGGAATCATTAGAATAAAAAAAAAAAAAAATTAAAAAAAAAAAAAAAAAATGGAATTCCACTTTTCCGCGGAAAACACTCATGTCTGAAGGCATATTCAGAAACAGTCAAAGCATGTTTCCCGTATTGTTGGATCAACAGATTACATATCAGTCCATCTTAAAGCACATTCAGAACAGTGGACTAACAGAGCTGCGGGTCAAATATGGCAGACCCACTTGAATACTTGTTTAATCCCTGCGGGTAATCTATTCAGTGTCTAATCGGGAATTCAGCTGCAAGCTTTTTAGTGTGCCATATTTGATCTGCAGAGCTGTTAGTCCACTGTTCTAAAGGCCATCTTGTGTCTCTCTTAGTATTGGACTTGATCTTAACAGGTCATGTATTTATTGATGGTAACCACAATAACAAAAATACACAGTGACAGACAGACAGACTTGTCTCCATTACTTACCCATTGATGCCAACATTTGCTTTTGCCATGTTTGATGTTTGGTTACCACTGAGAGACACTATACAAGCCTGGAAAAAATATGCACATGTAAAACACCCAAGTACTAGTAGGCATACATAAGACTTAAAGGGGGTTTTGGTGATATATTAACTTCAGTTGCAAAGAAATTAATTTTCCATGAAAACTTTTACCGGATTACTCATTTATCCCAATTAAAGCAAATTTGATGCAAAATTCTTCAGAAAATAGAGATCGTATGAAAGGTTACCAAAAAAAATTCAAAGGCAGCGTTATGAAAACTGAATACATTACAACATGACCAAAATCTGAAGGTGCAGTTCAAAGCTCTTTTGCAGCTGATCGAGTGATTAATTTGGTTTATCCCTTGGAATATCAACTTTATTGAAGTTATATAAGAAAATGGTGAAAAAAGTGGTTTATATGAGTGACTGGGAGTCTACACTCCACTGAGTTAATAAATTAAGAAAGAATAATAAAACAACTGAAAAAAAAAAAAACAAATGAATAATATAACCCATACTATATTGGCAAAAATAGTAAAGCATATAACATTTATAGGCCAATTTAGAGTATATTTACCACTTGTTTGAGCTTTCCTATGCCATATTACTTCAATCTAAGATATCAATATTTAAAAGCTGTATAAACTAAGTCAATGTCACATATAAGTCAAGGGCAACTGCTTATCACGATTGTTTGTATACGATATGGTCAATGTCATTGTAATGTCCTTTCAATGACAACTGCATCGAATAGTAAGACAATTGCAAAGGAAGCAAAAGACAGGCGATCTTCATATTTAACAACAACAAAAAAAAAAGGTGTTAAACTACAAAAGATGTCTTTCTTTCATGTTGTCCTTTTCATGGTAAAATAAAGACAAAGAACTCTGATAAAAAATGTGCACGCTCTGACATACAGTACATGCCTCCTAAGCTTTATCATTAAACAACAAGTCAGCATTCGAATGGCACAAAGTTTTTTTGAATTTCTCTCAACATTCTCCCTAAAATTGACAAGGTCAAAGGAATAAAAAACACGCTGTTTTTTGTCAGCCATGTTTTTCTCGTCTCCGATTTACCGGTTAAATTTCGCAATCGAATAATTAATGCAGTTCACATTTACAGCTTGCAATAACTGGACGGTCAGCTACTAGAATATGTACTTAATCATGACGTCCAAAAGATAAGCATGGTTCTTCTTAGATAATGTGACAAAAAAACAGAAGACTGAACATCTTCATACGGAAAGCACTCACCTTGCAGGAGTGAAGAGTCAGCCGGGAAGGGCATTGCTCACGTGACCTCGTGACGTGATGATAAAGATTTTTTTATTACTGACATTCAAACCAAAAAGAAAATAATGAAAGAATAAAATTTTGTTGTTTATTATGAAGCGACAATTTAAGTGCAACATTTACAAATTAATCGGCATCAAAAATTAATGTAGTTTTACAAAAAGGGTGGTTATTTCAGAAGTTCCCGTCCAAAAGATCTTTATAAATTAGAAAGGTGCACCTTATTTGAAAAGTTTGTGAAAATATCAGTATTTACACAGCGTTTGGGTTATTTTCCAAGGTTTTATTGATTTAATTATAGATATTATATGTATATTCCATAAATAGAAATATTTGTGTCACATGACAAGTTCGTGATAAGCTGTACGTGGAGCAAGGTAAAGGTCACCAAGCGGCAAGATGGCGGATCAAGGGATACCCAAGAGTGTTAATTTCCTCTTTGGGGGAAGCGCGGGGTAAGAATATGTTGGCATTTAGTAAAGGGGCAGCTCCAGGTTCTGTGCTATTCGTCATTTCAATTTTCTTTTCATCGCAAAACGAAGCGAATGAAAGATTTTGCCCTGCGATCTTCCGAATGAACGGGAACGCATTGGTATTTAGAGGTCAACGATGTCATTACAGATTTTAGCAGAGAGATTTTAAAAGGTTCCTCCTGTGCCAAGACCATTGTGAGATTAGACTGTACACCAAATTTTAGAAGATAACGCAAACATGTATGGGTACTTCCACTGTATTACCCCCCCCCCCAAGTGTGGTTGCTTAAAGCCCACTTTGATCAGTTAGTGAATTGAAAAAACATGTGAAATGATTTTACAATACACCACCCTAGTAAATCACAATGCAAAATTACATCTTTCAAGTATTTTTAAACAAATTGCATAAAAATGCCTGTTTAA